ACCATACGATTTTCCCCAAAGCCCTACGATTTTACCCATACCCCTACGATTTTATCCATAGCACTACGATTTTTCTCATACCCTACGATTTTACCCATACCTTACGATTTTCCTCATATCCTACGATTTTCCCCATACCCTATGATTTTCCCCATACTCTACGATTTTACACATCGCCTACGATTTTAGCCATACCTTACGATTTTCCCCATATCCAACGATTTTATCCATACCCTACGATTTTCTCCATGCCCTACGATTTTACCCATAGCCTATAATTTTACCCACATCCTGGGGTAAAAAAAAAAACAAACAAACAAAGATATTAGCGTGTACGTGAATGCAGCGGATATCCGATTTCTCAGTCCGAGCCGCTATCCGTTTTACCACACGAAAATACCTAGGGAACCCAGCCTTTCCCCCTATTTACCCCATAACTTTGGGGAAGAGATTGATTCATATCTTTCCCAATGGCATTTCTTTGAAAAGAAAGTAACGAACACAGTTGTAATTTGAACTCGCCATCCTGATTTTACTTTCTGCGCCGATTACCGCCACGCTACACGTACATCATACCTTAGTAGCATTTCTTAATAATTTTGTCATTTGGATGTGGTTTCGATTCTCTTTCTTGGGCACCTCAGGATACTCACATTACTCCCATAATTACTGGCACTACCTATCGTTTCACTTTCTTCCAGCTCTGCTCTGTTATTCAAAAGAACAGTGAAACACACTATGTGCTTTGTTTTTGTCTTCTTGTTTATCACATCTGGTCGACTGGCTTGGAAAAGTGTCTCATATGAACCTCATTATTTTCCGCATTTACAGAACCTCATTATTTTCCGCATTTACAGAACCTCATTATTTTCCGCATTTACAGAACCTCATTATTTTCTGCATTTACAGAACCTCATTATTTTCCGCATTTACAGAACCTCATTATTTTCTGCATTTACAGAACCTCATTATTTTCCGCATTTACAGAACCTCATTATTTTCTGCATTTACAGAACCTCATTATTTTCCGCATTTACAGAACCTCATTATTTTCCGCATTTACAGAACCTCATTATTTTCTGCATTTACAGAACCTCATTATTTTCCGCATTTACAGAACCTCATTATTTTCCGCATTTACAGAACCTCATTATTTTCCGCATTTACAGAACCTCATTATTTTCTGCATTTACAGAACCTCATTATTTTCCGCATTTACAGAACCTCATTATTTTCCTGCATTTACAGAACCTCATTATTTTCCGCATTTACAGAACCTCATTATTTTCTGCATTTACAGAACCTCATTATTTTCTGCATTTACAGAACCTCATTATTTTCTGCATTTACAGAACCTCATTATTTTCTGCATTTACAGAACCTCATTATTTTCTGCATTTACAGAACCTCATTATTTTCTGCATTTACAGAACCTCATTATTTTCTGCATTTACAGAACCTCATTATTTTCTGCATTTACAGAACCTCATTATTTTCTGCATTTACAGAACCTCATTATTTTCCGCATTTACAGAACCTCATTATTTTCTGCATTTACAGAACCTCATTATTTTCCGCATTTACAGAACCTCATTATTTTCCGCATTTACAGAACCTCATTATTTTCTGCATTTACAGAACCTCATTATTTTCTGCATTTACAGAACCTCATTATTTTCCGCATTTACAGAACCTCATTATTTTCCGCATTTACAGAACCTCATTATTTTTCTGCATTTACAGAACCTCATTATTTTCCGCATTTACAGAACCTCATTATTTTCTGCATTTACAGAACCTCATTATTTTTCTGCATTTACAGAACCTCATTATTTTCTGCATTTACAGAACCTCATTATTTTCTGCATTTACAGAACCTCATTATTTTCTGCATTTACAGAATTACACCTGATGTTTAGTTGCTGCTGTTAGAAACCAAGTGACAAAGTCGCAGCAAATCTCAATCAACTTTTTCTGTATTGTTTCAGATCCCACTACTTATTTCTTCTTTATATACTACTAGCAGCATTGCCCGGCGTTGCCCGTGCTTGATTCAAAAATCGTACAACTCATACAGCAATCGCTATCACTTGACTTAAAATATTTTTGCCCATCCTTGCCTTTAAAGGAGTGCCCTTTACAGTGCTGATATTGCTACATGCCTTACTTCTTGCCTATCTCACACTGCGAATTTTTTTTAAGCTGTATAGCAAACATTAAATCTGTTACGAAAAAAGAACTAAACAAAATGAACACAAAACGATCAGCTTTAAAGAAGGACTCGTAACTGGAAAAACCGAATGAAAAAAAGAATGTTAACAACAAATACTTTTCACACTATAGATATATAGACAGATACTGAAAGACGTGAGCCTCTAGGTTTATTGCCTCTTGGGAAAAATTATGAAGCAATATCCCAGTGGATTAAAGTATTGGTTCGTAATGTTTTAATTATTAATAATTGTGAGTTCAATCCTTGGGCCAGGTAGTACAGACTTAGTGAAAAACATGGATAGTAATCACTGAGCAATACTAAAATGAAAACAAGATGACATATCCATAGACATGGACCACGGAACGAGAATAATTTGCCCCGTACATTCAGTGCAGTTCGAAATTTCTTGAACGCTATCTGATAAAGAGCACAACAACAGAAATCCTACCGTAATAAAAAGATGAGGATATTAGACCGAATGTAAATAAGAATAGGGAATATCTGATTTCTCCATCAGATTATTATTATTATTATTATTTTATTTCCTTTGATTTTTGGTGTATACTCATTTCTTTCCGGGTTCCAACCAGAGACCTAAGGTCAAAAATGGCAAGCAGTAGAGCATGCCATTTCCAAATTTCTGGCAGAGTGAATTGCGTCATGGTGCTCTTTTTCTCACAGATGGTGCCCAACTGACCCTACTATACTGTGCAGTCGGCAAAATCAAAAACAACAAACACGCATGCCCGGAAATAAAAATATAAAATGCTGACAATTTACCCATCGCACCTTGTATATCTTCTCAAACCGCCAACATCCTTCAGGCCATTCTCTTATAACTACTATGATTTGAATAGATTCATTGAATAAATTCCTTTATTGTTCATGTGTGTATCAAATCGTTTCTGTTAATTCACCCCAAAATAAAAATAATTTATATTTACTAAAATTCGCACCAAATTCTCCAGAGTGAGGCTCATCCATTACACTCCAGTTGGGTTTAATTTTGAGTTGGCCCACATTTTGAGCGACACCGTTGCGTTATTTTTAAGTGTGAGGTTTACATTTTGTGCTCACCCCAATGAACAAGCAAAAACAGATTTTTTTTTCTTTATTTTTTTCAAATTTTAAAAAAATTACTTCTAAGTACCTCGAATATCATCCGCACTTACGAAATTTTGAATAACTTCCTGATATTTGGTAATTTTTCATTCTAAGGTTTGGAGTTTTTGCGAAGCAAGGTAAACAAATTTTGATTTAAAATTAATAATTTCAAATGAGTGCCAAAAAAAAAATAAAAAAAAAATAAAAAGCATACAATCATCGATTTAAAATTTATAATCTGTTGGCGTGAATTAATATTTGCGATAAATAACTTTACATTAATTGAGGTGAACTAACATAAAAGATCCCGTGTATGTTTGGAACTGTACTCAATGATTTGATGATTGTGGCGACGACTGTGATCAGAGTAGGTTCAGTTTACAAGCAATGTACTTATATATATATATTTATGTTTTACTCTTGTTAATTTTACTCACTGGCTTGGTACGATGACTGAGTTCTCCCTGAGAAAGTTTTCATTGTTCTTATATCATCATTATTATTATTTTTATTTTCTTTGATTTCTGGCGTTTACACATTTCTTTCCGGGTCCCGCGCAGGGACCTAAGGTTAGAAATGGCGTCATGACACATCCACTGACAAAAAAAAAAATTACATAGATAAAGCCCTTCGTAAGGTGTGGGCTGTACTTGTCAGAACAATTTTTTGTATCTCCTTGAGGCATGGACTTCCAGGAATCCCTTCAATTAGTCTATTGCAATCTTTTCCAACCAGTCCTAGGGCTCCAACATTATTATTATTATTATTATTATTATTATTATAACGTAGCAATGTTAGCCGTAGCAATTTAACTATTTAACTTACTAAAACGTTGACTATTTTATCCTCGCCTTTCTTTTTCTTCTCACTTCCTTATTTTTGCATTTTTCCTTTCAAACTTCCCCCGTCCCTTCTGATATTTCATTTCTTTTCATTTGTTTTACGGCGTTTTTTCTTTTTTTTTTTTCTTTTCTCGTTGTCCCATACGCATGACTTGTCAACAGAAACAAAGCCGAAGGAAAGAGACAAGTAAAGCCAGAAAAGAAAACTTATGTGCAAAAAGGTGGAAAGGATTTATCAAGCATCTGTCGAAGCGAGATAAAAAAAAAAATATATAAAAAAAAAATACGAGAACATCCGAATTAGAAAGAGACAATCATCTTATTCAGAATTATGCAAATAAGTCATGGGTCACGTGGCGATCATGTGATAGCCGCCCAACGGGTACTCGACTTTCGCAGGCTTTCATTTGGGTAATGGATCACGTGACGCAGGAAAAATCCGATTCATTTTGGTTCTTTTGTTATTCAGGTTTTTAGAAATTTTTATCAATTTCTTTTTATTATTATTATCATTATTATTATTATTATTATTATTATTAAAAATATTTCGTGAAATAGTTACTTACACATCCGATGATCAGTCACAAAAAATACAATTAAAGAAAGAAAGAAAGAAAGAAAGAAAGAAAGAAAGAAAGAAAGAAAGCAAAAGAAGTAAAAGAAAAATTAATGGACAAAGAAAAAAGAAAGGAAAAAGATGAAGGAGGGAAAATAAATGGAGGATGGATGTAGAAAAGAAGAAAGCAAGGAAAGCAGAAGAAGCAAAAGAAAAATTAATGAAGAAAGAAAGAAAGAAAGAAAGAAAGAAAGAAAGAAAGAAGGAACGAACGAAAGAAAAATTAATGGAGAAAGAAAGAAAGAAAGAAAGAAAGAAAGAAAGAAAGAAAGAAAGAAAAATTAATGAAGAAAGAAAGAAGGAACGAAAGAAAGAAAGAAAAATTAACGGAGAAAGAAAGAAAGAAAGAAAGAAAGAAAGAAAGAAAGATGAAGCAGGGAAATAAATGGAGAATGAATGTTGGAAGGAAAGAAGGAAGGAAGGAAGGAAGGAAGGAAGGAAGGAAGGAAGGAAGGAAGGAAGGAAGAAAAAGAAGAAGTAAAAGAAAAATTAATGGACAAAGAAAAAAGAAAGGAAAAAGATGAAGGAGGGAAAATAAATGGAGGATGGATGTAGAAAAGAAGAAAGCAAGGAAAGCAGAAGAAGCAAAAGAAAAATTAATGAAGAAAGAAAAGAAGAAAGAAAGAAAGAAAGAAAGAAAGAAAGAAAGAAAGAAGGAACGAACGAAAGAAAAATTAATGGAGAAAGAAAGAAAGAAAGAAAGAAAGAAAGAAAGAAAGAAAGAAAGAAAGAAAGAAAAATTAATGAAGAAAGAAAGAATGAACGAAAGAAAGAAAGAAAAATTAACGGAGAAAGAAAGAAAGAAAGAAAGAAAGAAAGATGAAGCAAGGAAATAAATGGAGAATGAATGTTGGAAGGAAAGAAGGAAGGAAGAAAGGAAGGAAGAAAAAGAAGAAGAAGGAAAAGAAAAATTAATGAAGAAAGAAAGAATGAATGAGAAGTAAGGAAAGAACGAAGTAAGGAATAGAATGAAAGAAACAAGAAAGAAAGGAATGGAAAGGAAAAATAAAAGGAGAATGAATATAAAAATAAAGTGAGAGAGAAAGCTTAAGCAACAAATAAAACTAGGAAAAGCAACAAAAGAAAGAAAGAAGGATAAAAAAAATGGCTAATCAAAAGAAGAAAGAAATTAGATTAAAAGAAAGAAAAAAATAACAATAAATACCCAGAATTTCATAAAAAGTGGAACCTCCTGAGATTTGCTAGAAAATAAGCGAAACATACATGAAAGAATGTCACAAACTTAATAAAATTAAAGTTTTATTATTTAAAATCTTCATGTCGTTATTAAGAGGAAAGACAAAAGGATTTTTTAAGTAATTTTTCGTTAAACTTTCGAGTTTTTGGGGGGTTGTAATCTTGTTCCTCACGTGTTAATGTTGTACCGTAAATTAGGGAAAATGTTAGCGTCTTTTAGGAAATTCTTGCAAAAATCGGTTATCAAATGAATCAGATGAAAACAAAACGGCCGAAACAGTGTGATACTTCTACTACATCTCGATACATAAGATTTAAATGAATTTTCATAAATGAATAAAGCAACACTCTAGAAGATTTCATTTTATCTTTAATTGAAAGCTAAAGGACTGCATTTACTATTTCCAGTAAGCAAAATACCCGGGTGTATTTAAAACAGAAATTATATTGATTGGAATCGATTTTCATTTTTATTTTTTTAGTCAAACATCAACAAAATCGTCTATTAAATATAAGTTAATTCGACGGTTTAAAAATCTTGCAAAAATAAAATATACTTTTACCGAAACATTATTTGAAAAATATTAATTGATTTAATTTATAATTATCAGATTAGAAACATTATTTACTTTAAGTTTAAAATATCGCAGAGATTTTTAACTCCGTTATTATTATTATTTTTATTTTCTGGCGTTTACACATTTCTTTCCGGGTCCTAAGGTTAGAAATGACATCATGACACTTTCCACTGACAAAAAGAAAAAATTACATAGATAAAGCCCTTCGTAAAGTGTGGACTGTACTTGTCAGAACAATTTTTTGTATCTCCTTGAGGCATGGATTTCCAGGAATCCCTTCATTTATTATTATTATTATTATTATTATTATTATTATTATTATTATTATTATTTTTTATAATCCCTTTATCTCCTTCACACCTTCACCTGCTGGTTTATTTTTAACCAAATCCTAATCTATTTACATTATTCGGACTATTGTCCTCATCTTTATCGTCATATTTATTACAACGTTTCGGCTGTTGTACGCTCCGTCCTTCTTCAGGTGGTTGGAATGTCGAACTGAACCCTTTATTTCGCTCACTGGGGGAGACTGTTCTAGTTCCACGTGCCATGTTTAATGGATGTCAGTTATCAGGTATTAATTCCCCTCTCCAAGTTCTCCACTGCCTTAACCGGGTATTGAACTCACACTTTTTGAGTCCTGTAACTGAATCTAATCAACGCCTTTATCCACTGTGCTCAAGGACACATGCCACAGTGGATAAAGACGTTGGTTAGATCCAATTACAGTAATCTCTCACGCTATCGTTTAATTTGGCCTTCTTATCTAGACTGAAAAGGGTTTTACTTTACAATTTTTTTTATCATTATTTTAAGATAATTAACGAAGTTTAATCACTAACCTACTTACATATCTGTTTTTTTATGTAGGTTCCACCACAAAAATTGTGATAGCTACGGTTTAAATTTTCGTTTTATGCTTTAATTGAAAACGAAATGATTAAAGTTACTATTTCCAGTAATCAAAAAACTCTGGTGTATTTCAAATATAAAGTATATTGATTGGAATTTCTTTTCTTTTTTTTTCTTTTTTGCTAAAATAAATGATTAACTTTATTTTTAGTCGCCGTGTAATTTTCATTATTAAAAAAATGTCTTCCAAAAATAAAATATACTTTTCTGAAATTTTATTTGACAAATATTAGCAGATTTAAAGTATAATTAATCTGATTTGAAACAAATACTATTTGCTTTAAGTTTAAAATAACAGAAATACATTTTTAAACCAAACAGTAGCTGTGTTTTAACCAAGAGTAGCCATGTTTGATGAGTGATGAAAGGTCATGACAGGTTTATTGTTGTTTTTCACTGATTTGTCTGTAAAACATAATTTAAGAAAATGGCGTGAGCACCTTATTATATAATTTTAAGTGCTCAGTAATCTAAATTAAAATGTTGGAAAATATTCTCTGTAATATAATTTAAGAAATGTTGACATTAAGTTTACTATAGTCATCTCCCTTATTTTCTGATAATGTCGTGTATTGCCGTCCATATTTTCAAAAATGGGCACGTTTATATATAAAAAAAAATTCAAAATTCTTTTAAAAATCTTGATGCGTAATGAATTGTATTAACCTTTACATTTTTTCCTTAATAAATATAATTTTCACTTGATAATAGTATCACGTAACGCAATCAAAGTAATGCAGAAATTTAAAATATTTGAAACTTTATAGTTTATTATAATTAAAATTAAATAATAATTAAAATAAAATAATGAAACATTCTTGTAAAAATTCATGATTCATTGATTTTTTTTTCTTAAGACATAATGTCCTTAATATATCTTATTTATAAAAGCAATTAAAAACTTTTCTAATTAAATAACGTCATAGTTTTATTGCATTTTTTATTTTAAGATTCGGACATTCTCCAAGGAGGCCTGCTTTTAACTAATAAAATAATTTTGCAATCAAAATTTAATTTCTCGAAATTTCATACAATTAAGTAAGTGTCGGTAAGAATGATATGCTATCAGTGAAGATTAGAACTGGCAGAAGAAAGGAATTCTGTCGTCCGAACATTTTCCATGGATGTAGCAATAGAGCAGTAAGAAGCTTGCGATATCCCGCCTGTGAGAGTGGATTTTGGAATCTGTCACTTACAATGATGCAGAGACGCCTTTGGAGTCTATCAACACTGGAACGTAGGGACTGAGCAGCTACTGCCCAAATATGACAACAGTCACTCTATTTTAGACCTTGTAAAGGTAAAGGATAGCTCGAGGTATCAGGTACTTACTGGATCGTGAAAGGGAGTTGATTACTTTTCCTGCATAGATCGGATGAGAGATCAGCTGCCAATCGCTGGTCATCACGACTTTTAGAGGTGTACCCATATATCACCGTATCATCGGCATAGATATTCAAAATTGACCTGAGTAGACTCTTAAGCAGATTATATATGTAAAGTCATAGATCGTCATAGAATCGCAACATGGATTTAGAACCTGCGTCTGATATTCTGCGATTGTTATCGTCGCATAGCAATCTTCTATGTCAGCATAACAGAATATCATATTCGATGGTGAATATCTTTGTATAAATGTCCATATAACCACTCTGAAGATGGCCAAAGAGCTTAATAAAAATTATCAAAATGTTGTCCAATTTTTGTATTTATTTTCACCCAAAAACAAAGCAACCGTATGAAATTTAGAACGGTTCATTGTCAAATATAATAGGCATTCATTGTTATATTTAACAATATATATATATATATATATATATATATATATATATATATATATTGTCTATTTAGGCAGCATTTTTTCATTCAAACATGTTTCATTAAATCATGTGTGACGTCATGAATCGCTGGTCCCCAGACGTTATGAATTCAAGCGCCCTACGAGGCTGGCATCCCGCTCTCACCCCTTCACTGTCGAGACTCCTAAATGTAGCCGTCTCTTCTACTCCAGTAGCTTCATGTCTCGCACCTCTCGCCTGTGGAACTCCCTTTCCTATTCCAGTTTCTCTGAGAGCTATAATCTCCAGCTATTCAAGTGTAATGTCAATCGACATTTCCAGTTGCCTTGATCTATCCACTACCCTCCTCCTCATCCTTTCTTCTATCACTCCTATCTGATCTTGCTCCCCTTGCGTCCTAGTAGCTTCCCGCCTTGCTTAGGGTGAAAGGCTTAAAAAAAATGAGCTGTGGTGCGATTTTCGCTTCTAGCGTCTTATATGCACGTGTTTATCGTTGCTAGGAAAACATCCATGTAAACAATCACAGACTATCATCTGTCATGTCCGTATATTGCGTAATATATATATATATATATATATATATATATATATATATATATATATATATATTAAGCAATATCTATTTTCGTTGTCCTCTTATTACCGAGAAGTAAAAACAAGAACAAAATCTATTTCCATACCTGAGGATGTCTGTAGGAACAGATGAAAGCTTGTAAAAATTAAAAGACCTCATGCAACTGGAATTTATGAACAGGGATCATATCATTCATATACAGGTTCGGGGTTGATGTATCTTATTTATATTGTTTGCGAAGATGTATTCTCGCCATTTAAATCATTAACCTCTATATTTGTTTTTTGTATGAATGATTCATGAATTTATATATATATATATATATATATATATATATATATATATATACACACTTTTTGTGGTGTCGTATGAGCTTAAGAAAAGTCAAGAAGTCAAGTTCATAGGGTTGTGCAAGAAAGATAAGCCGAGACTTGAAGAGGTCTAGAAAGTAGTGATTGGGAAGACACTCTGTCGAAAATCTGTTTCACAAAGCCGCGGTTCTTGTGAGTAAACTATCCAAATGGAGGTGATTTCCAATTGTGTACACGGATTGGTGGGTCCCAGTTCTAAAGGTCAGAGGTGATAGGACTAAGGAATGTATACATGTCCTGGAAATAGCGATAGAGCAGTGAGAGTTTCGTCTGTGCTGAAGGGGTTGTCGGCTGGAAAATAATTTATGACATAAAAGAGCGCATAGATTCTTTTTGAACTCTATTAGGGCAGGCAAATGAGGATCGGATAGCTCCAGACCAGATATGGCATTAATACTCCATGGCAAAATTATTGGTTTTGATTCTTGCTGTTTACCTCGGAGTTCTCGACAAGATCCAGAGACGGATATGTAATATAATTGGCCCTGATCTGGCATCTCGTCTACAGTCACTCCCTCACAGACGCGCCGTCGCCTCTCTCTGTCTTTTCTACAAATACTTTCATGGTAATTGCTCCGATGACCTGTTTTCACTGGTTCCCAGACTCCATGAATTCAAGTGCCCTACGAGGCTGGCATCCCGCTCTCATCCTTTCACTGTAGAAACTTTTAAATGTAGGCGTCTCTTCTACTCCAATAGCTTCATACCTCGCACCTCTCGCCTGTGGAACACCCTTCCCAATTACTGTTTCCCTGAGAGCTATAATCTCCAACTATTCAAATGTAATGTCAATCGACATCAGTTACCTTGATCTATCCACTATCCCTCTCCTCATCCTTTCTTCTATCACTCCTATCTGCTCTTGCTCCAAATCTTCTACAACCCCCTGCATCAGAGTGGCTTCCCGCCTTGCTCGGGGCGTAATGCTTAAAAAAAAATTTCGTAGAACCTCATATGGTGTACAGACTTTTCCCCTAAAATGTTGCTTATAATTCAAAGTCTAATTTTAAAAGATTTTAATATGAAATAATTTTAAAAAGGGTGTCATTTGATATTTAAATGTGCAGATATGGTGTATTGATTAGCCTAAATTGGATTTTTATTATCTTCTTGCGAGAAAATGATATATAAATGAACAGGTTAAGATTGTAGTGATAGGGGAAACATCCTCTTGGGAGTCTCTTCCATAGGGCAGTGGTTCACAAGAAGAAGCTGTTCGAGTGGAACTTACTTCTCCCCGATAGCATACGGAGGGACGGAGAGTGGTTTGCTACAATGTGAGTGTCATGTCGGGTCCTAGCCGTGAAGATTAGAACCGGTACAAATCTATAAATGGAAGACGCGATAGTGTAGTGAGATGCTTGCTACAACCCACATACGAGAATTTGGAAGGTGGAAAATAATTCGTCAGCCACAAAGAGTCGGAGACGCTTTTGAACTGGGCAACTCCCGCCTAAATATGTCAACAGTGCTCCCTTTTCCACGTAATGAGAAAGTAGGGCCTGGAGAATCTGATACTCACAAGTCGAATAGAGAGAAAAAGAGAATAGAAAGCAACGCGTGACATACCTGGCTGGCTTAAGCAAGTGGATAGTAGAACGTAGTCTGGGGGATTTGGCAGTGGTACGAAACTTATTGAGAACTACAGGGGATAGAGAGAAGTAGAAAGCTATGATCGCCAACGTCCTGAAAGGTCACGGCATATAAAAAGAAAATAACTCCTTTTTTTGGCCTGATCTGACTCTTGTAAAGATAGAAAATAGCAGGAAGAGTCGGGTACTTACTCGATCGGTACAGGGAGCCGATCATTTTACCTGTATCTTTTACGAGAGATCGTATGTATGAGTGTCTGTTGAAATCTGGCGCAACTTTGAGGCCCAATACACTCTCAAGGCATGGTACTTCCTCGAGGGGGACATTCATTTATCGCGACTGGAGGTATTACTACGAAATTATATAGAAAGTGCTTTAATCGCTAGATCATCCACAGTTCTTGCCCAGGCATTTTTTTTTTTTTTTTTTTTTGGTAAATTCTAAAACATAAATCATTTAAAATGAATATTCAAAATTACTTAATAAATTTACTCTGAAGAAATATCTGATTTTATATAAAATTACGAACGAAGTTAAACTGCAATTAATGAAAGGTTTTGTGAACTTGAAGATAAAGATCTCTTTGCTTTTGTTTCTTTTTTTTTCTTTTTTTCTTTTTTCTTTTTGTTTAAGACGATTTAATAGCGTGTAAATCTCTGGGTGTGAACGGGAATGGGATCTGACCCCACTTAAAACACTTGGGTGGCACAGGAAATATAACGCTCATGCCAGTTAAAAGATGCGAGTAAATTTTATTTGATAAAAAACGCTTTGTTTATGAGCGTATGTGTAATGGAATTTGTCAAAACAAAAACACAGATAAACAAAGACTTACACCCACCGCTACATATATATATATGTGTGTGTGTGTGTGTGTGTGTGTGTGTGTGTGTGTGTGTGTGTGGAGGGAGAGGTTGAGTGTATATCTGCGCAAACACGTGTAGACACTAAATAGAAAGTCTATATTAATAAATGTATATATATATATATATATACATTATACATTTATATACATTTAGATATATATATTATACATTCATATATATATATATGTTTAATATATATATATAAAGGAAAGTGAGTGAATGTCTGCGCAAACACGTGTACCCACTGAATAAGTCTATAGAAATGAATGTGTATGTATATATATATATTAAAGGAAATTTTCAAAACACATGAACAAAGACATGCGTGTGGTGTACGGGTGAGTGTATGTTTTATATATATATATCGATATCTACGCAAACACGTGTCCACACTGAATAGAAGTTTATTAATAAATGTATGTGTATGTATGTATGTATGTATGTATGTATGTACATATATAAGCACACACACACACACACATATATATATATATATATATATATATATATATATATATATATATATATCTTGAATGCGTTACTTTGTAATATATATATATATATATATATATATATATATTGAAAGCGTTGATGTATATAAACTTGTTGAAGTGCGTGTGAGAAAGGCATAAATAGAGTTGGTCCTGTTTTAACGTGTTTATTCACGGGCAGAAGACTTATTGAATAAAAAAAAAACGTGTACTTATAATTGCCGGTATATATACATATATGTTCCTTTATTTCTCTCTTTTTTTTCTTTCTTTCATTCTTTCTTTCTTTCTTTCATTCTTTCTTTCTTTTTTTAAAGTCGCTGAATCAGTCTCACGAATTCATGGAAAGAAACACTCGAAATATGTGTGGAAATTTATTTGGGTGTGAAAATAGATTCGAAAACTTTTGAGAAGATTTTGTTTTCCTTTTTACACACGACATCTCTTCGAATTATACACACATTGTGATTTGTTATAACCGTCATGTGTCTTGGCCCAAAACTTGCAGACACGCATTCATTATTCGTATATGTTTATGTCTCCTAGTTTTATTTATATTTTCTTGATTCAAGCACATCTTGAGCACAAATTTCATTTGTTCAAATGTAAGCCTGTTATTATAAGTGTTCACCTGTTAAAACGAAGACAGGTCGGGTTTTCTGCAGTTAAATATGCGAGATCTTTTTTGGCCACATAAAGCCAGTAGGCAACATAAACAACTGATGGAATTATTTTCTGTTTTTATTGGGGGGGGGGGCAGATAATACTGCTCCAGAATAAGCATTATGGCAAAATACAAAATGGCCTTATATTCACTTTGAAATTTCTAAACTAGTTTTTTTCTGAACAGGTCAGTCCTGGGTATGACGATAAAGTACATCCGGCAGCAAGGCCTCTGATCGGGAGATTAGAGATTTTGAGAAGCGTAGAGCCAACTCTCAGTTGTTGTTGTCCCCAGGTCCACCCTGACCCAGAGTGGTAGCACCTGTTAGGGTCCCAGCTCTAGGCAAATATTGCCTCCCCACGGAAAAAACAAAAAGAAAACCCCTTGAAAGTATAATACATTTATATAGTAAAAATACCAGCAAAGCAAAGCGTGGGTGCCACTAGGGGTTACAGAAATTGAGAGCAGGAGTAAAAAGGGTGTTTGAGGAAAGGATATAGAGAAGGACGGGGACCAAGTTCAGAGGATGTCGATTGGCATTACATTTGAATATTTGAACATTATAGCTATCAGGGAAGCGAATAAGAGGAAAGGAGCTCCAGTGTCGAGAAGTGCGAGATAAGAAGCTGTTGGAGTAGCAGAGATGGCTACTGCTTTCTAAAAAGAACGGTTATTTTTTGAAACATGCCTCCAAGTGAATGCTCGACGGAATACGATAATAAAGGGTGTTTCATTAAGATGGATTATATATAAGGGTGTTTCATTAAGATGGATTATATATAAGGGTGTTTCATTAAGACGGATTATATATAAGGGTGTTTCATTAAGACGGATCCAAGTCAGCAGTAAATAGTGTTACTGGTGAAAATTCATTTTTTTATTTCCCTATTGGATCATGTTATTTCAGTCGATTGGCATTACATTTGCATATTTGAACATTATAGCTATCAGGGAAACGAATAAGAGGAACGAAGCTCCAGTGTCGAGAAGTGCGAGATAAGGAGCTGTTGGAGTAGAAGAGAAGGCTACATTTAACCGTTTTGACTGTGAAAGGGTGGGACCGAGATACCAACCTAGTAGCACGCTTAAATTCATGCAGTTTGTGAAACAGTGAAAGTAGCTGATCAGAGCAGTTGCCATGAAAATACCTGTAGAAAAGAGAATTTTAGTGTGTGCTTACAGTTATTTTTGTGAATGAAAATCTCAGTGTGACGTCTCATAAATGAACAATATGATTTTTTTTTTATCCTTGCCAATAAATTTGACAAAATAAGAGGTCATTTTTTTTTTTAACGCAGTTATCCCAAAAATGTATTATGTTTACCAGGTGAACTACGATAAAAAAAATATACAAGATATAGCTATTAATAATCGTATATAATAATTTTTATGCACGGTGTACTTGAGATATGAAAACTATTTCAAGTGGTCCACAAGGATAAAAAGTTTGGTCTAGATACTGACATTTTGTTAGCAGCTTTAAATGTCGCCCGCTTAATCATACATCATTGGTCTTTTATTGCATGCACGTGTTTAAGTAGAAGCCTTGCTTTTTTTCCTTTTTTTAATGGTGTGAAATACGTATGCCAGCTTGTACCTTCGAAAGACTTAATTAGGAAAATGTGTTTTTAGACTGGGTTCTTACTTGCCCCCAGCCCCTTGTAGAGGAAACAGCCATCTTATGCAGGACGATAAGCGTAATTCACAATATGTTTTTTAAAAAGACAAAAAAGAACAGGACGTCTACTCAAACACGGGTATCTATTAAAATAACGTTTAGAATAATAAGAAATAATCTTGGATATTTTTTTTTAAATCCGTTCTAATCGTAAGATGTTTCACTCAGACTGCTTTCCAAAAAGAACGGTTATTTTGTGAAACATGCCTCTAAGTGGATGCTCGACGGAATACGATAATAAAAGGTGTTTCATTAAGACGGATCATATATGAGGGTGTTTCATTAAGAAGGATCAAAGTCAGCAGTAAATAAATCAATGTTATTAGTGAAAATTATTTTTTTTATTTCGTGAAATGGTTAAAAGGCAACAAAAATCTGTCCAGTAAACCTGGCATCACAAAATACTAATAGAGCCCGAAAGCGTTCCGCGTCCTTGCGGGTGACAAATTATATTCTACACTGCAACCTGTCTCTCACTCAGGAGATGGAGCAAACCTGTCACTGCTCTATCGTCATTTTCATAGAAAGTGTTCAACCGAATATATATATATATATATATATATATATATTTATATAAAGGGTGTTTCATTAAGAGGGATTATATTTAAGGGTGTTTCATTAAGACAGATTAAAGTCAGTAGTAAATAAATCTGTGTTATTGA